ACATGTGGGAGCACAAAAGGGCAGCACACCCTAGGCCCCACACTGGCACTTGCCCACACCTGGCCGTCAGGCTCACTGGCGGTGCAGACCTCAGCACCCCTGCCTGTCAGGGCTCAACTCCCCCCGAGTGGGTGAGAAGGGCTCCAGCCCAGGCCCCACGGCCTTGATCATGGGGTGGAAACCAGACCACCCTAGGCTTCTGCCCTCTCTCACTACACAGGAACCCACGGCCCCTCCAACCAGGCCCTGATGTCCTTGTCCAGGTGATAAAGGCCCCCTGCACGTGGCTTCCCCTGGGTCCACATGGTCAGCCCTCCCCCTGTGGACCCTCCCTCAAGTCCACAGTTTGGGGTTGGCCATGCACTGCAGAGATGAGGGACCACCCCCGACAGGGAGACTGGCCCCCAAAGCCCGGACTCCCCCACACACCTGTGGCCAGGCAGGGATGGAACGCCCAGGATTCCTCGGGCCTGAGCAAGCCTGTTCCCACGCAGGGCGCTCAGCCCTCAGGGGAGCTGCTGGTTTGTCAGTGGAGCCTGGGTCAGACAGCGTGTGATCTGTCAGAGCCTAGTCTCGGGGAAGTGACTCACTCCAGACAGCTCCTTGCCCGGAGGGTGTCAGCCCAGGCGTCCTGGAGTGACCTCCAGCTGTACATCAAGACCCCACTGCTCACCTCAGTGATGTGGTCACCCACCCAACCACACCCCCCAGCCCAAGAGAAATGTTATCTCCACCAAACAAAGAGCTACCCCTCTTAGGAGAAGGAAAGGGAGAGAAGGACAGGAAGGGTGGAGGTCAGGCTCCCAGGGGGGCAGGTGAAGCCCCAGCAATGAATATACAGTACCCAAAGGCCCAGGGCAGTGCCAAAGAATGTTCAAACTTCTGGACAATTGCATTCATTTCACATGCTGCTATGGTTATGCTCAAAATCCTTCCAGTTAGGCTTCAATAGGACGTGAACTGTGAACTTCCAGATTGCGAAACTGGGTTTAGAAAAGGCAGAGGAACCAGAGATCAAATTGACAACATCTGCTGGATCATAGAGAAAGAAAGGGAATTCCAGAAAAACATCTACTTCTGCTTCATTGACTAAGCTAAAGCCTTTGACTGTGTAGATCATAACAATCTGTGGAAAATTCTCTAAGCGATGGGAATACCAGACCACGATGTTACCTGCCTCCTGAGAAATCTGTATGCAGGTCAAGAAGCAACAGTTACAACCTTACATGGAACAAAGGACTGGTTCAAAGTTGGGAAAGGAGTACAACAAGGCTGTATATTATCACCCTTATAACTTAAATGCAGACTATAACTTATATGTCTGTAACTTACATGCAGACTACATCATGCAAAATGCAGCTGGATGAATCCAAAGCTGGAATCAAGATTGCCAGGAGAAATATCAACAACCTCAGATATGCAGATGATACCATTCTTAGGGCAGAAAGTGAAGAGGAACTAAAGAGCCTCTAGATGAGGATAAAAGAGGAGAGAAAAAAACTGGCTTAAAACTCAACATTGAAAAAACTAAAATCATGGCATACAGTCCCATAACTTCATGGCAAATAGATGGGGAAAAGGTGGAAGGAGAGACAGATTTTGTTTTCTTGGGCTGCAAAATCACCATGGACGGTGACTGCGGCCATGAAATTAAAAGATGCTTGCTCCTTAGAAGGAAAGCTATAACACACCTAGATAGTGCATTGAAAAACAAAGACATCACTTTGCCAACAAAGGTCCATATAGTCAAAGTTGTGATTTTTCCAGTAGTCATGTATGGATGTGAGAGTTGGACCATAAAGAAGGCTGAGCACCAAAAAATTGATGCCTTTGAATTATGGTGCTGGAGAAGACTCTTGAGAGTCTCTTGGACAGCAAGGAAATCAAACCAGTCCATCCTGAAGGGAATCAACCCTGAATATTCATTGAAAGTACCAATGTTGAAGCTGAAGCCCAATACTTTGGCCACCTGATGGGAAGAGCCAACTTGTTAAAAAATATCCTGATGCTGGGAAAGATTGAAGATGGGGAGGAGAAGGGAACGACAGAGGATGAGATGATTGGATGCCATCACCGACTCAACAGACATGAGTTTGAGTAAGCTCCAGGAGTTGGTGATGGACAGGGAAGCCTGGCTTGCTGCGGTCCATGGGGTCACAAAGACATGACTGAGGGACTGAACAACAACAAAGTGCCCAGAGCAGTGCTCAGCACTCAGAAGCACACGTGTTTGGTGAATACAGTGACCAGTAAACCAATAAATAAAGGAAGCAATGGGGGCTCTGACATGTGCCTAGACAGCACCGGGTGCTCACAAATGCGACTGACAAGAGGCCCCCACAACCTTGAGGAATGCAGGGGGGGGTCACCTCCATTCTGCAGATGAGGCTTCCAAGGCTCGCAGGATCAGCCAGGTACCCAAGGCAGGATGGCCAGTAAAAGAAGGAGCCGAGGTTCCCAGCCATGGCAGCCTGTTAACCACAAGGCCCAGTGCCAGGAAGGATGCCGGGGGAGGCTCCACCTTCTCAGGAGCCCAGGAGCTGAGCAGTCAGAGGGAGTGGGGTGCCTGGGAGGGGCCAGAAGGTGTGGGACTCCCAAGCCTGGCTTGAGCTCCAGCGCAGCCTGGGGAAGCAGGTTTGGGGAGACCCAGTGGCCAACAACTTGTCCTTTAGAGCACCAGGGTCAGTGCACGCCGACACCCGGGGGTGCCAGCCACGGCCACCAGCTGAAGCCCCAGCAGCCACCCCCGCCCCACCCCCCACCACCTAGCTGGCACTGGGACACGCAGCCCTCTCCACTCCAGGCAGGCCTGCCAGCCCCCATGCTCCATCCTTAGAGGAAGGGATCTCCTGTTCCCTTCTGTGTTTCAGGAAACTCCTTGCCCACTGTGCAGGGGGTTCGGCTCCCTCCCCCAGGCCCTTCTTCCTGAGTCTGCCCTGTCCATGGTCAGCAGCTGAGGGCAGGGGTGTCCCTGCGGGCAGGTTGACCAGCAAAACCCTTCCTTCCTAAGGGAATCGCACAAAGAAGTCCTCTGTGCAACAGGTCAGGGCTCAGCTGCCTGGGGAGGGTTAGCAGGGGAGGGCACAGTGGCCACCCCAGGGCATTCCATGGAGGCCCAGGCTCAAAGGGCAGGACGTGCAGACCTTGGGAGGGGAAGAGGGGGTGCAGGCCTGACACCAGGCCCTGTGACCTGGGGCTGGTGTGCTGCCCGAGAGGAGCTGGCCTCCCCATGAGAGGGGCCGCTGTGGGTGGTCAGTGAGATCCCCTCCAGCCCTGACGGTATAGGGAGAGGTGCCAGGGAGAACCAGGTGGCTTTGGAGGTGGCAGGGCTGCAGGAGGCCAGGCGGGGCAATGATTAACCCCCAACTGCTCTGTCCTGGGCACCCGACCCACCCTTGCTCCCTGCGGACAGGGCCACCCCCCCTCCACCACCTCATGGGCAGGAGAGGGCCAGGCACCTATCCAGGGCTGGGCGTCTGCATTTCAACCTGGTGCCAAGGATGGGGGGCCCACTGGCCCTCCGCTGCCCACCTGGGCCTGCCTGGAGCCACGCTCCTCGCCCCCTCCTCAGCAACCCCCACCCTTGCCTGGGAAGCTTGGTTGACAGTGACTCACAGCCCTTCCCTCTGCCAGCTGGGGCTTGTTCCCAGGAGCGGGGCGGAGGGTCCCGGCTCCAGCTGCAGCTGCCCAGGGCGCTGAGGAGGCAGGGCAGCTTCCCCAGGACACTCGAGCCCACCCCTGCAGACACAGGAACCCGGGGCCTCTGAGCAGAGGGCCAGTGAAGACCAGATCCTGCACCGTCGTCCTCAATGGATATCTGAGCAGATGCGAATGCCCAAGGCCCAAATGGCAACATCAGAACCTCCCACCCACCCAGACTTCGCACTATGCACTATGCAGGGCCCACACGTGCGTATGCACACACACCAGAACACAGGCCCCACCTGGACGCATAAGACACTCCCGCATCAGACCCACATGCAGAGTCCAAGACCTTGACCGCCAGCCCCACCCTCTGCACAGACCCTCCCTGGGTGTGACTGGCCTCTGAGACGCTGGGCCCCCATCCAGAACACCAAGCACCTCCTTTCTTGGGGCGTATCCTCCCCTCTCCAGACCCCACAGGACTCTGCTGCAGAGCAGTGAGGACAGAGAGCTCAGGGGGACCCCAGCCCTGGGGGGCTTGCTACCATGGGGGGTCCCTGGAGCTTGTGGCCCTTGGGGGGTGGGGGGGTGGGAGGATCAAGGTCCTGATGGGCAGAGCTGCCCACACCTGCAGAGGCAGCCTGGCCTCCCCACCCAAACACCCACCTGGGGCCAATTTCTACCAGCGAGAGCCTTCGGGTCAAGGAGTAGGGACCCAGCTCCTGCCCATCCACTACATGGGCCTGTTTTCTGGGGGTGATGTGGGGGGGGGGAGCCAGGAGATGCTCTTGGTGGGACCCTAAGAGAAGTTCAGGGGTCACCAATCACATAAGGCTGCTGCCTCCTGGACACCCACCCCCCACCCCCAGGCTTCTCTGACCTGACTAGCTGTCCAGCAGACAAGGATGAGACACCCAGGCCCTGGACCCTTTGAAGGCCCCGCTGGTGAGTGAAGACTGAAACGCAGAGAGGGGGAGTGCCAAGCGTGAGCTCTCCCAGCCCCGACAGCACCCCAAAACGCTGTGCCCAGAACCTGAGCCTCATCCCTGGAAAGGCACCTGCCCGCTTGGCCTACTCACTGACCCTCTGAGGCAGTGCCGCGGCCTTCTCCCGGAGGGGCCTCTCAGACTCTCCAGAGAAAGACAGGCAGTCAGGGGCGGCTGGAAGCTGAGACTTGGCCGTTTACCTCCGGAAGCCTCCCCAGCCCCCAGAGCGGCCTCTCCGGGCTGGACAGCCCTCCGCAGGCAGCCTGCTCTGGCCTGCGTCCCCAAGGAGAAAGGAGGGCCGGAACCACGGGGGCTGTGCGGCGTGGCCCCGACCCTGTGGCCCCCGGAGCAGTCAGGACCCCGGCTCACCTGGACAGAGCGGCCCAGCTCTTCCTGCTGCCCGACATGCCGCCGGACCGCCGCGCGTCCCGTCCGCTCCGCGCCGCCCCGCGCCCCGCCCGCGGTGCAGGTAGGCTCACCTGGCCTCTTATCCCAGGCCGCGCCCTGCGCAGCCGCAGCCGCGCAGCTGCGCCGCCTGCCGCCTCGGATTGGCCTGTGGGTGGGGGCGTCGTGGACGGAGCCTCCCCGATCCCCACCCCGGCCTCCCGGCCCCGCGCCCTAGACCGGTCGCCGCACTGAGGGACAGACGGACGGATGGACCGGCGGACGGGCGCCCAGGCCGCGCGGGGCGGGGCGGCCGCCCAGGGTGGGGACCGAGACTTCCTGCTCGGAACCTGTCGAACCAGCCCGCCGGGCCGCCCCCTCCCGCGGGTGCCCGACTGGCAGTGGGGTGCCCCGGGTCAAGCCCGCTCTCCGCCCGCCGACCGGCTCGACCACGCGAAACCCAGCTGGGAAGCGGGTGGGCAGGCGCACATCTTGGGTCCGGAGCCAGAGCTCTTCCCAGTAGCGCGCTGGGCGTGGAAAACTGCGGGCACGCCCCGTGCAAAAAGCGCCCCTCCAGAAAGAGCCGGGATTCCTTCTGCACACGGAGCGCTCACGGCTCCGAAGAAGCCAAGGCTTCGGAGGCGCGCTCGGACTTTGGGCTGGCGGGGCAGGGGGTTGAACCTGGCCGGCTTTCCCCCGGGGCACAGCGAACAGGGGAGTAGAGCGGAAGTTCTGGAGCCAGTGAGGTACCACCTGGCTCCCTTTAGGTGCACGTCCAGCTGCGCGCGCCTCCCATGCTGCAGGACCTCAGGGGACCAGGGAGGGTCAGTGCCTAGCAGGGGAATCTGGTCTTCCCTGGGCATCAGACTGTTGCGGCTCCCAGAGGAAGGAGGTGCAACCCCCGGCACCAGTAGGAGAAGACAGGGGTAGGAGGGCTGGAAATGACGCGGCCTGCTGTGTCTCACTGGCCAGCTTGGCTCCCTTGGGGCGCTAATCCGGAGCTGGGAGTCTCTACAGTGCCTCCCAGCTCTGAGATCCCCAGTGAAGGGCAAGCCTGCTGCTGAGCAAAAAGCCTGGGCACACAAGGCAGCCCCTTCCCCAAACACCCCCTCCTCCAGGGGGTCCTCCTTCTTGGCTAGAGGAGCTGAACGACTTTCAAGGAATGAGAGCTGGAGACCAGGCTTTGGGCGCTGGCATGGATGAGCCATGTGACCTGGGGCCAGTCACCTGTTTCCTCTGCTGGGTAGTAGAAATGACACTTTACCCAGCTTCCTTCCAGGTTGTGGGGGTCAAATGAGTCTGCCGCTGAATGCGGGTGAACCTGAGGTGAGCAGTGAGAGCTGCCCAGGTCCATGCGAGGCCAAGGCAGGCCAGGCCACTGGCTCCTCCAGGGAGAGAGGAAGGGGGGGAGTGGCAACAACCCGGCCCTTGTGTGCTGGGACTCGGGGCCACCCCTTCCGGGGTGCCTGCTGTCCCCAGGGACCCAGAAAATGTCCTTCCCTTGGTTTTTCAACTGAGAAAGAAAAGTAACCCTTGTCATTGGAAGCCAGCCCTTCCAGGGACACTCTGAAGCCAGCAGTTGGGAGTGTCTCCAAAATCTCAAACTCCACCACCAGCGCTATGGACACAAAACCGAAAGACACGGAAGGCTGGTGTGCAGACCCCTCCAGAGGTGCAGGAAAGTGAGCTTTGTGCGCGTTAGGGCCCTACAGTCTGCTGCGGGCAGACCCTTTCTGCGTCCCGGGCACTCGCTCTGCGTGTGCAGCGCCAGCGCTGCAGTAACCAGTGCCACCGGCTCGGTGGTTGCAGAGCTCGGGTGTTTATAGTCTCACAGCTCCGGGGGCTGCGGTCCCTCAGCAGATCACGCTCCCCCAGAGACCCTGGGGCAGGAGCCGTCCTGCATCCTCCTGCTGCTGGTGGTTGCGGCAGCTCTGGGCCTGCGGCTGCGTGACTCCATGTCTGCCTTCAGAGGCCCGGGGAGCCGTGCCGGCCTCTCTGCGCCCGCGTCCAAAGTCCCCCTTCTATCAGGACACCAGTCCCTGCCCAGGGCCCACCCTGATCATATCTGCAGAGGCCGGCACTCACTCACAGCTTGGCTGTGACCCCGCAGAACAGGGAGGGCCTGAAATAAAAAGGTGAACAACATCTGAGTGGGAAAACCCCTGAGACTTTGCGAGTCAAAAGGTCAGGTTGAAGAGGGGAGGCCACCGCAGAGGGGTTACTTTTAAGAAAGAAGGGGCTTGAGCACAGGCAGCCCAGAGGAGGGGCAGTGGCAGCGGCGCAGCTCCAGAAGGCCGAGCGGTCACAGGGCTGGCTGTAGGTGGGGGTCAAGGCCGGGCGCCCCCTCCTCCCCCGCTGCAGTAGGGGCAATGAGGACAGGTGTCCCAGGGGCCTGAGGCTCGGCATCTTGAGACCCAGGGCCTGAGAGTGCGCAATGTGGGGGTGTCCGCAGCCTGTGAGGTCAGCAGCGCCCCTGGCCAACCCGCTGGACGTGGAGGCCATGAGACAGCGGGGAGCTGCCCAGCACGGGCTCAGGACACAGCCCCCGGGGCACGTGCAGGCAGGGGGAGAGGGGACACTCACGAGGCAGAGGCGATGTTCCACTCATCCGTGCCATGCAGTGCCCTGCCACTCGTGCGTCCTGAGGAGAGGGGGATGCCTCCTTCACCCGTGTCTAGGCTTGGAGAACTGCAGTAACTTCCTTTGGGAAGGAGACAAGGAAACCCCAGAGGCCCAAGATTGCCTCCATCAGCCGGGGGACTGGGTCGGGTCTCTCAGCACCCAGGACCCATCTTCTCCAGGCTCAGGGTGGCCCTGACAGTAAGTTGCTGCGAGAGCATCTGTGCCACAACCCAACGAAGGCTGCTGGCCCAGCACTGTGAACGCAGGCACCAGCAGGACACGGAGCAGCACTGCTTACAGTCGCAAAATTCTGGAGACCACCCAGAGGTCTGTTCACAGGAAAATGGGGGAGTAAATGTTGGTATTTTGTTGTTTTCTTCTTTTACTACAATCTCTACCTCTGATGAACTTCAAAGCAGAAAGCAGCATTTATGTCAGACTGACAAACAAATACAATGTATTGTTTCAGGAACCAGAAACACAAAGTACCAGGGGAGTGAAACACACAAGCTGAGGATGTGTTTGCCTTTGGGGAGAGAAAGGGCTGTGGTTGGGAAGGGACACACAGGGGCTTCAAAAGCATTTGCGATCACCTGGTTTTTTTAATCGAAGTATAGTTGATTTGCAGTATCATGTTAGTTTCAGATATACAGCAAAATGATTCAGTTACACATATATACTTATATAATTACTTATTTTCTGATTTTCTGATTATTTTCCGCTATACATTATTATAAGATATTGAATTGCAATCCCTTAGTTCATAAAATTAGAGGTTGGTGCAGGTTGGTGTGAGCCTGCAATGTCCACTTCTCCCGGGGAGAATCCAAGAAGACAGGGCTTATCAGCCTAGGAACCCCTGCTCCAGGACGGAAGTTTTCAAGACTCCACAGCCAGTGGGAGGGGGAGCCCCTTTCTCTTCCCCTCCCAAGGAAGATGTCAGGCTCTGGAACTCCCAGCCCCCAACTCCTGTCTACACAGGACATAAGGAAACTTCCTTTTCCCCAGGAGTCAGAGTGGAGACTGGTGGGCCCCAGGCCAGGAGGGTTATGAGTCAGCCTGACGTGTCGGTTCCCACATGAGAGGTAAGACCCACACCCTAAAGAATCCAGGGCAGTGGTTCCCTGACTTTGGATTTTCACAAACTAATACTTTTTAAAAATATGAATATACCAATGGTGTTACCACCATATTGTTTTTTGAAGTAAGAAATTAAAAGACAATAATGACCACCTCCTGTACTCCCACCCAATAAGTAAAGGGTATTTGATACTAAAATAATAAAATTAAGACATGCATTACTTTGTCAACAAAGGTCCATCTCGTCAAGGCAATGGTTTTTCCAGTAGTCATGGAGGGATGTGAGAATTGGACTATAAAGAAAGCTGAGTGCCAAAGAATTGATGCTTTTGAACTGTGGTGTTGGAGAAGACTCTTGAGAGTCCCTTGGACCGAAAGGAGATCCAACCAGTCCATCCTAAAGGAGACCAGGACTGGGTGTTCATTGGAAGGACTGATGTTGAAGTTGAAACTCCAATATTTTGGCCACCTGATGCGAAGAACTGACTCAATTGAAAAAACCCTGATGTTGGGAAAGATTGAAGGCAGGAGGAGAAGGGGACAACAGAGGATGAGATGGTTGGATGGCATCACCAACTCGATGGACAAGGGTTTGGGTGGACTCCAGGAGTTGGTGATGGACAGGGAGGACTGGTGCTGTGGTTCATGGGGTCGCAAAGAGTCGGACATACCAAGCGACTGAACTGACTGACTGATGCATACTTTGAACAGAGGAGAATCCTTTTCACTGAATACACTAGCTTTACGGAAACTTCAAGCCTGGGTTTCCTGGCAAGCTGCGGAGCAGTAGGATTTGGGGCAGAGATCTGATTAGAATCACCATCTGGGAAGTTCTAACAGGAGGAACACATGCCGTCCATCACACTCGGGCAGGCAAGCCACCGCCCTCACAGGTACGTGCCCAGGGTCACACACACCAGGCTCACCCCTTCTGATGGACACACACACGCACAGGCACACACACAAGCTCCTCCGTGGGGCTCCAGCGTGGGAATGCCTGTCCTGGCGCCCAGCTGATACCAGACTTCTCTGCTGAGCCCAGAACCAAGGGTGGGCTCACCCCGCCTGTGTGACCCTGGAGCCCAGCGGTGTGGAGCCAGAGCCAGAGGGGCCTCCTGCCGAGGCCCTTGGGCCCTGCCCCTGCCGCCTGCAGTGAGTCCAGCCCCTGGGTCTCAGCCCCGTTAGGCCCGTGACCTTCAGGGAACCGCTCCCTCTCTGCCTCCAGACACCGCGGGGCTCGTGCTCTCCAGGACCCGCAGATCCACCAGGAAGTGTCCTGGGTGTGGGGCTGTCCCTCCCTTGTGGCCGCAGGCTGCTCTGGGGGTCAGGGAGGAGACCGCCGCCCCTTCAGTCCCAGCGGCCTGTCCCTGGCTGGGACAGCAGCCTGCTCACCCACCTGGAACAACGCTGGCCAGCCTGGAGCCCTGCGGGAAGCCTGCCTCCCTTCGTAGGGGGCCACTGGGGCTAATGTTTAACGGGCTCCCTCCTTGGCGGGCCCTTCATTCCCCGGGGCCCACCCGCTGTGAGGGGGGCTCCAGGCGGAGAGTGGGCTCAGCCTCCTGCCCTGTGGAGACAGAGCCCGGGGTTGGCTGGAGCGCACACAGGAGGCGTTCCACCCAGGGGTCCTCAGGAGGAGCAGCTCCATGCCCCCCACCCCGCCCCAAGCCACTGCTGCAGGTCTGCATCCCTGCTGGTGGGGGAAAACCCTTTGCCCGTCGGGTGCATTTGTATCTCATTTGAATGTTTTCCCCTCTGTGGGAACAGGCAAACTCCAAGGTTTGCATTGCCCTTGGTCCCCGGCCAACTTTCCCCTTCTGGAAAGTTACAGGTTGGGCTCTGTTGAGTCTGAGCCCAGAAAAGGGTGACCCCCAGATCCCTGTCCCCAGCCTGCAGCTGTCAAACCCCGAAACTTGTGGTGAATGACTTCAGCTCTCCAAACCTCTGTCTCCTCGTGTGTGAGTGGGTCTAAAGTAACAGGATCTGAGCCTTAGGTTTCTGTGAGTACGTAATGAGTGATCCTGATGAAGCATGTTATCCGTTGTGACTAAGAGTCTGGGCCCTTACAGACTAAATGGTTCAGTCCTGGTCCCTCACTCAGGAGCCGTGTGACTTCTCTGCCTCCGTGTTCCCCTCTGGAGAACCGGAGTGGTGATGGTGCCTTTCTCAGGGGCCGTGAATGTCTGAGGAGCTAATCAGGGGCGGAGAGAGGCGCCTGGCACAGAGTGAGTGCTGCGGCCACTGGTCTGACCCCAGCTCGGCACTGCTCACGGCCAGCCCGGGTCCCTCTAAGGTGAGCAGGGCCTGGGTGCAAGTGTGGGCGTCTCTCCAGGGACCATGCCTCCTGCCAAGTCCTTGCTGTGGCCACAGCCCAGCCCGCCCCGGTCACCCCCAAGGAGCCCCATCCATCCAACGCGGGACGCAGCAGGTAGGCAAGATCTGGCCCTGCTGTGAACCAGAGGCCTGGACATCCCCCAGAGGCCCCTGAGCAGGCTTGGGGCCCACCCGGGGCCCCATCCTGTGGGCTCTCTGCGCTGGGTGTTTGCTCTGAGTCAGGCCTGGGTTTGTAGGGCAGGGTGGAGCCCAGTGCCCGGGACCCAGCTCGACAGTCAGCCAGCAAACTGAGAGCTGCCTCTGCAACCCTGGGCCTCCAAGGGCAGAGGCAGGGGCCACGCCTTGGACCCAGGTTGTCTGCAGGGTGCCCGGGGCAGGGAAGGGGTGCTGGGACTGCCTGGGCGTGAAGCACAAGCCACGCTCTGTGGGCTCTGTGGCGTGAATCAGCCCTGCCTGCCAGGCTCTGCAGCTGGGAGTGTGTGGGTGTGCGTGTGTGTCTGGGTGTGTCTGTGCCTAAGGGTTTTTGTGTTGTAGGAGCTGTTTCTTTGAGCACGTCTGCCTCTCTGCCCACCCAGCTCTTTGCAGCCAGGACCGAAGTAGGGTGATCCCCAGCTACTCCAGGCTGCTGTCCCTTGGGTGCCGGTGGGCAGACAGGAGCCAGGCCCTGCCCCAGGGCCCCGGGCGCCGCACTTTGCTCCCAGCTTCGGGCAGTTATGGCAGGTAGCACACTGGGAGCAGAGGGCAGAGCAGAGATTCACAGGCAGGCGGAGGGCTCTGCATGCAACCCAGCCCCTCCTGGGACCAGTGCTGGGCGGCCAAGGTGCCCAGGGCCAGGCAGGGAGCAGCCACTCCCCGGAGGATACAGCTCAGGACTCACATGACACTGCCCGGAAAAGCCAGACCCTCTGAGCCCAGACGCTGGTCCCCGCTCCATGGGCCGCTGTCCCCCATGTGCCGGGGGTGCCTCCTGTCCCCCACTCCATCCCAGCAGACTTCCAGCCAGCAATGGACTTGGTCCAGTTGCCTGAGGGATGGAGAAAGGACCTCACCTAGAGGAGAGACCCCTGACTGCCCCACCTTAGGAAGAATCAGTCCCGGAGCACATGGCTCATCAGAGGTGTGAAGGGAAATCAGGCGGTGATTCTGGGGGCAGATGGCACGCTGGCCAGGGGTCCGGCAGAGTCCAGGGCAGTGTGCGTAGGGGGCCCCCTGGTGGCCAGGCCTGGAACTGCGGGGCATCCCCTTGGCTGGGCCAGGGACTCGCCCAGAGGGCCAAGGGACACCAGAGCACCCGGAGAAGTGGCCTGGAGAACGGCCCTACGGAGTGGCAGGGCCGGGGACTGGGGTGGGGAGCCCTTGAGTTCCGTACTGACGGCCGGAGGTCAGGCTGCACTGAGCTGAACCCCCGGGGTGAGGCTGCGCTGTGTTCTATCCCCTTAGCATGCCTCTGTGTGTCTTCCCGAAGCCCGCATGGCCTCCCCGCCTCCCCTCCCCTTGGTACTCACAGACAGAGCCGCGGGGGATCGGGATATTGGCTTTAATGGGGAGGGCGTGACGCCCGCGGGCGACAGGCACGGGGCGGGACCCCCAGGCGCCCACCCACCAGGCGAGGTCTACACCCCAGCCCTGCCAGGGGCGTTCAGGCAGCAGGCAGACGTGGACCAGGTGGGTGCTCCGCGGCGCGGGGCGGGAAGGCGGCGAGCAGGGCTGCAGGGCGGGGCGGGCGGGGAGCCCGGAGCACAGCGGGGCCAGGCGCCTGCAGGGACAGCGGGGCAGGGCCTTCAGCGCCAGGCTGGGCCTCAGCTCTCACCCGGCCCGGAGCCCCTTCCACAGCCCCTGCCCCACGGGGTCCCCGCCCCGCCCGGGGTCTGGCAACTCATCCCCAGCGCCGAGCTCGGCTGCACCGTCAGCCCCTGACGTGCTCTCCCTGCGTCTGCAACCCCACTGCACCCTCGAGGACTTCACCCCTCCAGGGGCCTTCTCCAAAGACGGGGCTGCGGACAGACCCTGCCTGTCGCGTGTACCCCCGGCTCACCCAAGCAGGGCGTCACCTGGCCTAACTCCGTGCCTTCTCCAGCATTTTCCTGGGAGAGTGGATGCCCTGTCTCTCTTGGACCACTGCCGGGCACTTTGCAGGACTCCCCAGGAGGCATTTAAAAGTGCTTATACTTTTGGAAAGTCAGGGCCAGAGGGTCCTGGGGGCCACTGAAGCCCGGGTCCTAAGCTCTTACATAAAAGTCGCCCAGGGGCTGCCCCACCCCAGAGTCTGGGGTCCAGGGGGCCTGGGAGGGACCAAGTCATCTGCACCCAAGGTGGTGCTGGCGCACACCTGGGCAACCATGGAGCTGACACAGCCCCATGCAGGTGAGGGGGCGAGGGCCCGAAGCAGGAGTGACGTGCCCAGAACATCTGGGAACCACACTGAGCCCACCTCAGGGTTCCCTCCTCAGACCACATGGCCCAGCCGGGGGGCGCTGCCCTGGAGTCCCGGCTGCCCTGGGGGCGGGGCCGGGAGCTGGGGGCTGGCCCTGGGGGCGGGGCCGGGAGCTGGGGGCTGGCCCTGGGGGCGGGGCCGGGAGCTGAGAGCTGGCCCTGGTACCTCTATGGGTGGTCGGAGTCCCTGCAGCCCTGGGGGCGGGGCCGGGAGCAGGGGGCTGGCCCTCAGTACCTCTACTGGGTGGTCGGGGACTTGGCGGCATCGAACATCTTCTTGCGTCCCTCCATGCCAGACATGGCCTCCACGTTCTTCCTCCAGTCGCCCACCTCCACGGGACGCTCCTGCGTGGGCCACACACGAGAGACTGAGCGCCAGCCCGCCAGGCGCGAGAGAGACTGGGCGATGGGCAGTCAGCCTGCCCTAGAAGGTGGGGCAGCCCCAGCCCTCCTTCCCCGGGAACAGGGCGGGGAGCCCCGAGCTCCCAGCCCCCAACCCCCAGTCTCCCAGGGGTTCTGGAATATTCTGCCAGGGGGCGGGGCTCCCCCAGGGACTGCAGAGCCGGCCGCGTTGGGTGCGGGTGGGGGCTCACCTTCTCTGTGTCCTCCTTCTTCACGGACTTGAGGTTGGCGCGCAGGTCCATAGACACCTTGTGCTTGGAGCCCAACAGGGCGCGCAGCATGGCGTCCGCGGAGACGCGCACACGCCGCAGCGGGGGGCGCTTGAACTTCCCGCGCAAGTCCAGCACCTTGAGCTTCAGGTCCTTGATCTGCGGGGAGCAGGTGGCTCAGGGCTCCGGGCCAGGTCCCCAGGGACGCCCGTGACCACCGCCACCTCGTGGATAGACACCTATGTTCCATCCAGTGCTGTTGGCACAGAGGTGGGTGGATCTCGGACGGGGAAGGCAGTCAGCCCTGGTGGTCACAGACGGATGTGTCCTTTGGAAGCCCCGTTTGGATTGGGGGAATGGGCACATCCTCCTATTCCCGCTTCTAACAAGTCCCGGTGAGCCTTCAGGGCAGCCCAGTGAGGGCAGGGCCATGCCCCGGGGTGTTTCCAGGGTGCAGCCTCGGAGGGAATTCTGGGGAGATTCATGACCCGAAGACCAGCGGTCCTCCTCCGGTCCCTCCCCATGCCTCTCTGGACAGGTTCCCGCAAGCCGCCAACCCCAGGCGCAGGAGCCCTGCCCCCTGCATCCCACTCACCCCCCTGGAGCTGACCCCCCCATGCCCCAAGCTGAGCGAGCACTGAGCGCCGGAGTCGGGGTGAGGGACAGGCCGTCCCAGGCCCACTGCTGTGTGACCCGGACCCAGGTTCCCAGCCTCGCTGAACCTCAGGGCCCTCATCTGTCAGGTGCAGATAAAAGCACCGCTTGGTACCCAGGTGCGCGGGGTGATCACAGGCTCAGTGCACAGAAAGGCCGTGCCCAAGGGGAGCTGTCATCGCCAGGCTGTGACGATGTGTGTGGGTGAGCAAACGGGGGCTGCTCTCCCACCGAGAAGCCAGCCTGGAGGGCTGGAGGAAGTCCTGCCTTTCATCAGTGAAACTGTCCTCCCCCACCATCTTCAGAGTCCGCAGTGGGAGGGGGAGCCGGTCCACACCTGCCAGTCAGAGTGCGCCTCCCTACCCAGCAGCCCCCACACCCCCACACCCCCCACCCTCCCAGCCCCTCCAGCTTCACCCCCCTCACCTCCCTGGTGTTGTGCAGGCACTTGGCCTCAATGTCGTATCGCTCCTCGTCCACCACCTCCACTTTGGCGTGCAGGTCACGGCACAGGTCCTGGGGAAACAGGGAATCAGGAAGGGAGACTAGGAACGCTCAGCCCCCAGACCCTTTTCAGCCCCTCAGCCTGGGGCCCTTGGCCACCTCCCACGCTCAGCGAGACCTGAAGAGGCTGCTGGACCCCCCCCCCAATCCGAATGGGAGCCCTTCGTTTTCCTTTCTGAATGTGCTTGTTACCACCAGAAAGTTTTCTTATGATAAAAAGAATATGTTACTTGTAAAATTTTGAAAACTGTGTATTAACCAAAAATAATAAAGTAAGAATAATTAGTACTGCCACCAGTTGGAGGGAACCATGGATGACGTCTTGATTTACAGATTGTTGTTTAGTCGATAAGTCATGTCTGACTCTGACCCCATGGACTGTAGCCCACCAGACTCCTCTGTCCATGGGATTTCCCAGGTAAGGATGCTGGAGTGGGTTGCCACTTCATTCTCCAGGGGATCTTCCTGACCCAAGGATCGAACCCACATCTCGAGTCTCCTTCATTGGCAGATGGATTCTCTACCACTGCACCACCTGGAAGCCCTGGTTTATGGATGGTCTCTGGTCTGAGGATGGTTCAACTTATCAGTGGTGAGGCACTGATGCACGTTCAGTAGAAACCATCCTTGGAATTCTGGATTTTTACCTTCCTTGGGCTGACATGCGGTGCCCGCAGGGCAGCCCCATGCTCCACCATCAACACACTCAGAGCCATTCATACCAGACAACCACTTCTCATCATCAGTGAATAACAGGAGATACTCAACTCTTCATCATAACATAGGCTTCCTGTGAGCTGATTTCACCCAACTGTCGGCTGCGTGAGTGCGCTGCACGTATTAAACTGGGCCAGGCAAACTGTGATGTGCAGTGGGTGAGGTGTAGACCACGCACATTCACACTTGGATATTTCACCTGGCAGTGCTTTATCAGTTCACAGCCACGTCATAAGTCAAAGGAGATCTGTTTCTTCCAGCCCCTTTGCTCTGCAGTCACTGCTATCTACCCTCTTATTAATGTTAGGAAAACTTTAAAGCCGTCTGCAGGGGAAGCCAGGCAGGTCTGGAGAAGGGGCCTCCCCAGCGTGCTGCCCACCTGCCTGCTGGGCACCACGGGCTGGTCTGCCCCCCCCCCGTCACCTGTTGGGGCCCCCCTCCCCCCGGACGCCCCCCCACCCCCGTCCCCGCCCCACCCCCACCCCCACCCCCACCCAGTCACCTGCAGGGCGCTGAGCGACAGCCCGCGGGTCTGCAGCGCGGGGATGCGCTCCGCCAGGTAGCGCTTCTTCTCAGCCTCGCGCTCCTCGTGCTCCTGCTCCCAGCACTCCTTGGCTTTGGCCAGCATCAGGCTCTGTGCAGGAGGGAGCCCGGATAAGCATCCGGGCACCGCGGGGGAAGGCAGGCCCCAGGCTGGGCCGGCCCTGGCCCCGCCCCCGAGGAGGCACGTGTGCACAAGGCACGTGTGCGGGCGTGTGTGCACCACGTGAGGCCAGACCCTGGGACCGCATCTGACCACGTGGGTGTTCGGACCCTGGGCCTGACTGCCCTTCCACCTTCCTCTTATCATTTCCCATCCTTGTGGGACCCAGAGCGCCTGAGAGAGAAACCCTTACCAAAACAGAGCCAGCCCTTTGTCCCTACGAGGGTTCCTGCCTCCCCCCAGGCCCCGAGCTCAGGCTCTGGGCTCCACTGGCCCCCTCCGCTGCGCCTCCGTTCCTCCGCCATCTCCCCCTCCCCCGTCACCCCAGTCTCAGAGGAGCCCTGCACCCGTCTGCCTCCCAAGCTGTCTCCCCCAGGGCCAGGACCCCGCTCACCTTCAGCAGGAGTTTGCGGGAGGCAGTGATCTTGGGTTTTCTCTGAGAAGAAGGAGGAGGAGAGACAGCTGAGGCGGAAGGCGCAGAACCGGAAATCGGGACCAGCGCTGCCTGGTCACCCTCAGCACCCAGCACCCTTGCCTCGGGGTCTCTTAAGGGCCCGTCTGTGATTTAACCCCTCAGCTTCAGAGACTCGGCTCCCTAACCAGTGAGTTGGATCCTGCAACACACCGAGCGGCCCTGGGGTCTGCGCACCCCTCCCTCATCTGTGAATCCGGGTGCTGAGACACTCCCCCCAGCCAGGCCGGCAGAGGGACTGTAGACAGAGTGAGGTCTGGACAAGCACAGGCCTTGGGCAGGAAGGATGGCCCCCAGCTCTGGGGGCGACTCCACCTCACGTCAAAGAAACAAGCTGTGAGTTCCTCAGTGAAGAAGCTTATCTCTTCAGTCGTCAAACTTTTTGTTGATGTCAACACCATCCACATAATTGCTCTCAGAAAACAATATTTTCTCGTCTTATTAAAAATCTTTGACATCTCTTGCTGACTAGATACATTCTAGTAGGTCTCAGCCCTGTAGGTGCATTCTCCAGGGAAGCGAAGGGGTCAGCTCCCCACCTCCGACTCCCAGGGCTCCTGCCCCCTCCTGGGCACAGGGTCACGGACCCTACTCCCGCCAGCGGCTGCTGGGCTGCCCCCGGACCACAGCTCGCTTTGCCATCCGTGTGCATGAGGTGGAGGTGATGGGCCGTGAGCAGTCCCCATGGGAGCAAACGAGTGGGCTTTGGGAGCTGGAGCAAGCTTCTAATCTGCCGCTCAGTGTGGTCTGTCTCCTCCTCTGGGAAAGCCTGGGGTCTGACTGGGGTCCAGTCAGTGTGGTTGCCACGGGTGGACTGTGGCTAAGGCCATCGCCAGCCTGAGTGTCCACTGTCCCTCACCCTTGGAAACACTTCCCAGCAGTGCTGTCTCGCCACCACGTGGGGAGCTTGGGGCCACCTTGCACTCTGTCAGTCACCAGGGACTCACATTCACACAAGCCTCAGCAACACTCAGAGATTCCTACAACTGCTGAAAGCCAGGCTCTCCAATTCTCACTGAGAACCTCTGCCCAGCGCCCGTCCATCCTGCTGCTGATTTCTGTCAGCCAGCCCTGGGTCCACAGCTGCCCACTGCAGTGCCCACCCTGGCTGAACAGAGCCTGTGTCCTTAGCAGCCTGAACAGACCAGGACTGCCGCGGGGGCGGGGCAAAGACCTGAGGGGCGGGGCAAGGGCCCTGGCTCCTCCCTCAACGTCCTGTGGGTAGTGGGGGCGGGGCATGGACTAATCCGAGGAGGATCTCCTCCCACCCTGCAAGTGTGGCTTGCTCAGGACCTGCTCTGCAGGGACAGGATGGCCCGCCAGGGTTGGAGCACTCTCAGACCCGGCGAGGCAGAACTGCTGGGTGGTCAGTGTGGGTGCAGTCACACTGGCCCCAACCTCAGGACCACCTTCAGGGAGGAGCGTCGTGCACAGGGCCCCCACCCCCGGACCTTGAGGCGCCCCACATCCAGGGAGTTTGCTCAGCCGCTGGACCCCCCTCCCCAAGGGTGTCCCCAAGGGCTTCTCCCAAGCCCTCTGCTCTCTCTAAATGCCCACCCCGCACCCTGTCACCCAACTGAAGACGCAATCAGGACGAAGATACACCGGGTCTCACTCACCTCGCTGCGGGCATCCGTCACAGGAAGGCCAGGGGCAGAGGGGAGCAGAAAACAGAGTGAGTGTGGACAGTGCTCAGCTTCCAGGGGGACAGACCATGGGGACAGGTTGGGACAGAGAGAAAGCAGACACCACGCAGAGGGGCCACTCCGAGGAAGAAAAGCCACAGGCTCCGTGGGCTGCTGGAGCCCCTCGTTGGGAAACACCAGTCACCTTACAGTGGGGAGAATGGGGTCCTCGAGGGGGCCCGGGCTGCAAAAGCTTCCGTCCTGGGTGCTCGGACGGAAGCTCGGCCGGAACCTCCCCAGGCTTTGTTCATCTTCTGGGTGATACTGTCACGGCTTGTGGTCCACCCATTTCACCAGCACAGACAGACTCAGATGCAGGCAACTGGGAGGAGTTCTGCTCAAACCCTGGGAGCACTTGTGGGGGCCCTGAGGACCCCAGCATGCAGCACTGTCCCTGTTTTAGGATCTGGCCTCCCGGGGAACTGCTTCAGGGACTGAACAGATGATCTGAAGTCTGAGGCAAAGGGACACGCCTTCTTGGACCCTGGGAAGGGGCGGGGGACTACTTACACTTCTGGCATGGTGACGGACGTTTGGTACCTGGGGTGGAAGGAAACACTGATGAGTGAGACACACCATTCCTGCCCCACCCACACTGGCTGGGCCTGGGGCTGTGTCAGCCGCCCAGCCTGGGAGAGAGAGTCCACAGCAGGAACAGACATACCGCCCCCGAATGGGTCAGGAGGGGCACACACATGTCCATTCACTTTTTTTCTCTCTACTCATTTCCTCCTTCATACAAGGGGGACAGAAAACTCATGAAGGCAAATAAGTAACAGAAGAACCAAAAGTGGTTCTGCTGGGTGGGTGTGTAGGGTAAGGATCTGCAAACCGCAGCCCACAGGTCAGGAACAGCCTGTTTTTGCTTGAAAGATTGTAAAACAAAGAATATGTGACAGAACTATATGTAACATACAAAGCCTAAAGTGTTTCCTATCTGCTCCTTTCCAGAAAAAGTTAACTGATGCCTGTGGGGACCCGAATGGTATCCAGGGAAGAGGTGTTTGGAGGGCGCTCACTCGGGGGCCTTGGATGACAGGGTGAGACAGACCGTCCTGTGGGCAGCTGGTGGTCATGGATGGCTCAGAGCGGGAGGGTTTGCGAGAGTGACCACAGAAAAACAGAAGCTGCTGCCTGGCAGACGTCCAGGGGGCGCCATTCATGTGGACAGTGATGCACCCAGGGCAGGGCTGTGGGGGGCACTGCAGGGAGAGGAGCTCAGGTCAGGAGGAAGGGCAAGCCCTGTGTCCCACTCTGTTTTCACCCTGAGCCTCTGCAGGCCCGTTTTCCTCTGCAAAATCAGGGATCAGAGAAGTTATTTTCCACTTAAAGTTTAGTTCTTGAACCCATTGTCCAAGCCAAATCACCAGAGCAGCCAGCCCTGGTTGGGGGGGCGGCGGTTAGCCCAGGACCCCCATGCTCCACAGTGGGGTCCTCTGCCTATGGAGCACGGTTTGAAGCCCCCGACCAGTGATCCTCAAACCCCTTTTAGCCTGACAGTCAGATCAAGGAAGGAGTCCTTGAGCCATAGAAGGGGCATGTTCCAGCCGGGCTGACCACACTCGGGGCCAGCCTGAACAGAGAGAATTCGGTGCAGGGGGTGGACACTGGGCAAAAGATTCAGGGACGACCGATGGGGGCAGGTGCGCAGGACGTGTCAGGAGTCCTGAGCTGGGTTGGAGCGGGGAGGATGGGGGGGAGGGGGGCTGCACACAGGGTCAGAAGTTTGGATTCTGTCCAGGACCTGGAGTGAGTGGGGGAGTGCAGCGGCCATGGGATCGCCTCCAGAGCCGTCCACCTCTGCCTCAGTCCTCCCTGCTCCCCTGTGCCCCTGACACCCAGGTGGGGGTTGCCCCCCGCTGACTCCCCCATCAGAAAGTCCGTGGGCCCCCTGCCGCTGGGTTGCAGGAATGTGACCTGAAGCCTCAGCTGTCACCTTGGGGCATAAAGGGGAGCGGAGCAGTCTGCACATTCCTGAGATGCTTGGCTGAAGTTAGATTTTATCGCCAGCTGTTTATTCTGGGGCCTCTGAGGAGGTCCAGAGCAGAGGGCGGCTGGGGAGAGCACCCCCTCCCTGGCTGTCATCCGTCACAGCCCCCGGTGAGCAGCCCCGGGGACACAGAGCCCCCCTGAGGTGGACATGCTGCCCTCGGGTTGTGCCTACGCCTCCCAGGGGCCCACTGCCTGCCTGGCCAGTGCAGGCCCCCTGCCCAGCCACAGCCCACCCCCAGCCTGCCTGCTGACAAATGCCAGGCCGAGGGACCTCTGTGCTGCTCAACACCCGCGGGATGGGACTCCTTGACAGGTCCCCTGGAAAACAAGCGGGACCAGCGATAAGAACTGCGGAGGAGGCAGCTCCGCGGTGGGGGTCGCATGCCCGGCCCCCACGGCGGGGGGAGATAAGGACCGCAGGAGCGGAGGCTGAGGCCGCGTGTCTGTGGGCGTGAAGCATGTGAGTTGCGTGTGCGTGGCTGTGCAAGTAGGGAAAGGACTGAGCACTCCCCTCGGGCTCGTGTCCGCCCTCACCCCCAGCCTCCCTAACCTTGGACCCCAGTTCAAGGGCGCTGCAGGCCTCCAGACCCCCAGCGAGGCTTGTGCCGCTCTGCAGCCCGCAGCGCTGAGCAGGAAAGCCCGCCCTCAGGGCCGGGGGCAGGCTCCCAGCCAGCGGACTTCATGCCCCGCACCCCAGTTAGAGAGCCCACCCAGGTTCCCCGTGCCCCCCCCAACAACCCCCTCGGGGCCCTCTGCCTTCGCTCTCTGCCCTGGAGCCGGCTTGGCGCTCTGCCTGCTCCTGTTGTGTCCACTGTGCAGACAACAGGCGCTGAGCAAGTCGCCAAAGACTGAGAACAAAGAGGCGCCGGGGTTTCCCTGGTCAGCAGTTGGGGAGGGGAGGGAGTGCAGCCTTCCAGCGCCTGGGTCCTGCCCCCACCCCCACCCGGTTTCTCCGCCTCCCACCCACAGCGTCACCCCTGCCCTCACCCCAAGCTCTCCGTCTGCGCCCTCTGGCCCCAGAGCACCCTGCTCCTTCCTGGGACCACAGACGGGGTGACCGCGTGGAAACTAGTCCTGGAGGCTCTGCCCTGGGGCTCCCAGGAGCCTGGAAAATCCAGCTCATGGCTCCCAGCCTAGACGGCCGGCGGGCTGTCCCTGCAAAGCCATCTCGGGCAGTCCACCGATAGCCCAGCTGCGCAGGCGGGAGCCGCCCTCCTCGACGTCCAGGCCCTGGCCAGCTCCAAGTCTGAAGCCCCAGTGCCACGGCCCAGGCGGGGGACACTCACCTTCCTTGGTCTCCAGGAGTGAGTCTGGCTTGCAGCTGACTGCAGACTGTTGGGGCAGAGCGGAGG